TTATCAAATATTATCAAATATTATCAAATATTATCAAATATTATCAAATATTATCAAATATTATCAAATATTATCAAATATTATCAAATATTATCAAATATTATCAAATATTATCAAATATTATCAAAGATTATCAAATAAAGATTATGAAAGATTATCAAAGATCATCAAAGGTCACCAAAGATCATCAAATATCATCAAAGATCATCAAAGATCATCAAAGATTATCAAAGATTATCAAAGATTATCAAAGATTATCAAAGATTATCAAAGATTATCAAAGATTATCAAAGATTATCAAAGATTATCAAAGATTATCAAAGATTATCAAAGATTATCAAAGATTATCAAAGATTATCAAAGATTATCAAAGATTATCAAAGATTATCAAAGATTATCAAAGATTATCAAAGATTATCAAAGATTATCAAAGATTATCAAAGATTATCAAAGATTATCAAAGATTATCAAAGATTATCAAAGATTATCAAAGATTATCAAAGATTATCAAAGATTATCAAAGATTATCAAAGAAAGATTATGAAAGATTATCAAAGATCATCAAAGGTCATCAAAGATCATCAAATATCATCAAAGATCATCAAAGATCATCAAAGATCATCAAAGATCATCAAAGATCATCAAAGATCATCAAAGATCATCAAAGATCATCAAAGATCATCAAAGATTATCAAATATTATCAAAGATTATCAAAGATTATCAAAGATTATCAAAGATTATCAAAGATTATCAAAGATTATCAAAGATTATCAAAGATTATCAAAGATTATCAAAGATTATCAAAGATTATCAAAGATTATCAAAGATTATCAAAGATTATCAAAGATTATCAAAGATTATCAAAGATTATCAAAGATTATCAAAGATTATCAAAGATTATCAAAGATTATCAAAGATTATCAAAGATTATCAAAGATTATCAAAGATTATCAAAGATTATCAAAGATTATCAAAGATTATCAAAGATTATCAAAGATTATCAAAGATTATCAAAGATTATCAAAGATTATCAAAGATTATCAAAGATTATCAAAGATTATCAAAGATTATCAAAGATTATCAAAGATTATCAAAGATTATCAAAGATTATCAAAGATTATCAAAGATTATCAAAGATTATCAAAGATTATCAAAGATTATCAAAGATTATCAAAGATTATCAAAGATTATCAAAGATTATCAAAGATTATCAAAGATTATCAAAGATTATCAAAGATTATCAAAGATTATCAAAGATTATCAAAGATTATCAAAGATTATCAAAGATTATCAAAGATTATCAAAGATTATCAAAGATTATCAAAGATTATCAAAGATTATCAAAGATTATCAAAGATTATCAAAGATTATCAAAGATTATCAAAGATTATCAAAGATTATCAAAGATTATCAAAGATTATCAAAGAAAGATTATGAAAGATTATCAAAGATCATCAAAGGTCATCAAAGATCATCAAATATCATCAAAGATCATCAAAGATCATCAAAGATCATCAAAGATCATCAAAGATCATCAAAGATCATCAAAGATTATCAAATATTATCAAAGATTATCAAAGATTATCAAAGATTATCAAAGATTATCAAAGATTATCAAAGATTATCAAAGATTATCAAAGATTATCAAAGATTATCAAAGATTATCAAAGATTATCAAAGATTATCAAAGATTATCAAAGATTATCAAAGATTATCAAAGATTATCAAAGATTATCAAAGATTATCAAAGATTATCAAAGATTATCAAAGATTATCAAAGATTATCAAAGATTATCAAAGATTATCAAAGATTATCAAAGATTATCAAAGATTATCAAAGATTATCAAAGATTATCAAAGATTATCAAAGATTATCAAAGATTATCAAAGATTATCAAAGATTATCAAAGATTATCAAAGATTATCAAAGATTATCAAAGATTATCAAAGATTATCAAAGATTATCAAAGATTATCAAAGATTATCAAAGATTATCAAAGATTATCAAAGATTATCAAAGATTATCAAAGATTATCAAAGATTATCAAAGATTATCAAAGATTATCAAAGATTATCAAAGATTATCAAAGATTATCAAAGATTATCAAAGATTATCAAAGATTATCAAAGATTATCAAAGAAAGATTATCAAAGATCATCAAAGGTCATCAAAGATCATCAAATATCATCAAAGATCATCAAAGATCATCAAAGATCATCAAAGATCATCAAAGATCATCAAAGATTATCAAATATTATCAAAGATTATCAAAGATTATCAAAGATTATCAAAGATTATCAAAGATTATCAAAGATTATCAAAGATTATCAAAGATTATCAAAGATTATCAAAGATTATCAAAGATTATCAAAGATTATCAAAGATTATCAAAGATTATCAAAGATTATCAAAGATTATCAAAGATTATCAAAGATTATCAAAGATTATCAAAGATTATCAAAGATTATCAAAGATTATCAAAGATTATCAAAGATTATCAAAGATTATCAAAGATTATCAAAGATTATCAAAGATTATCAAAGATTATCAAAGATTATCAAAGATTATCAAAGATTAACAAAGATTATCAAAGATTATCAAAGATTATCAAAGATTATCAAAGATTATCAAAGATTATCAAAGATTATCAAAGATTATCAAAGATTATCAAAGATTATCAAAGATTATCAAAGATTATCAAAGATTATCAAAGATTATCAAAGATTATCAAAGATTATCAAAGATTATCAAAGATTATCAAAGATTATCAAAGATTATCAAAGATTATCAAAGATTATCAAAGATTATCAAAGATTATCAAAGATTATCAAAGATTATCAAAGATTATCAAAGATTATCAAAGATTATCAAAGATTATCAAAGATTATCAAAGATTATCAAAGATTATCAAAGATTATCAAAGATTATCAAAGATTATCAAAGATTATCAAAGATTATCAAAGATTATCAAAGATTATCAAAGATTATCAAAGATTATCAAAGAAAGATTAGTCATGTGTGTATGTGTTTCTGTAAAAATAAGAGTGGCCATCGATTAGTGAATCTTGCCTTAACGGCATTATGCATCATGTGAAGAAGTTTCAAATACATATATTGATTATATTACTTGAGGGTATCCAATTGCCGAGAGCAAGACAACGATACTCTCCTGTTTTGATAGTTGGGTAAATTGCCCTGTAGGATATAGCCCAAAAAAGGAAGAAGAAGAAGTATTTAATAGACGCATCTCTGTCCAATAAAATATTAATTTAATAAATAAATATGGAAAAAATGCTGATAGATATTTATTTCAGAAGATAACTGAAAATTGCATTATTGTACAAGTTTCAATGATAGATACTTACTGCAACAAGTCGGAGATTATTACATTCCTATTTCATGCAATAATTGTTAGAATTATTATTTGGAGTAAATAAAAAAATATGATTAATAGGATCATTGGTTTACTATCCGAGTGTAGGTGGAAACTCGTTTCAGGTTGGGCCATGATAAACATTTTAAGATAACGATAAATTATGAAGAAATAAGAAAGTGTAGTACTTATTGTATACTATTGTATATAGATTACCAGTACACCATCACTATTATATAACCTTCAGATCATCAACCATTTTAAGGTGATAACACTTTTGGTTCCCTTTGAGAACCATTGTTCGAGGTGATACCCCTTATTTATTCTGTGTTTTATGTAATCAATCATTCATTCCATGTCTGGAAGCTTAAGTAACAGGTTCGCGAAGAGGTCTGTGGTTACACTTGTTGAATTATTATGCATGGTGAATAAATATTAGTTGAAGTTAAACGTTTTATTGGTAAAAATGCCGGCCATCCCTACAAAAGATACATATGCAGATTAGACTGCAAAGAAATTAATTATAGTTCATTCTAAGTGAGATCAATGCATGATGATAAACCTTTTAAGACAATGATAAATTTATAAAGACAGATTATACTCCAAATAAATTAAATATGGTTAATCCTAAGTGAAAACTTTACAGATCAATGATCATAAAACATTAAAAATACTTACGTCGAAGTAATAGAAGCATCTATAACACCATCCCCATCCCAGCACCTATTCACTTCCATCTCCTTGCCGCCATCGCACGAACCAACTTGATTCATGAAACAAGTCGCCGTATCGACCAAACTCGGCCAATCGCCGTCCTCGGGCAAAGGAAACTCGTCGGGAAAACTAACGGTAGTTTTCATTTTGGTTAAAGGCACGTGAGGATCGTCTTGAGCCCTCTTAAATTCGATCGGCAACGGACTTGAGGTAGTACTAGCGTTAGAAATAACCGTAGCCGGACGAGCCATCGTCAAAATCACTTCGGGTTGAGATTGAGGCTTGTGAATGCTCAAAGCGTTATTCAAATTTTCTCTAGAATGGTTTTTCGAGTCTTTCATTACTTTTTGCTCCGTCTGTTCTATGTTGTCGGGGTTGATTAATCGGAGCAATTCTTCTTGAAAGTTTGATAAATTTGCGCTGTTTCTATTAGAGCTACGAGAAGTTACTCCAGGTCTTAATTTGGCTTCACCATTTAGCGATCTAGGACTTTGGTTTCGATTCGTGTAATTTTGAGCATGTTTCGCTGCTCTACGAGTTCTAGGAGAAGCGTTTCCAGCCCCTGTCGACAATTCTTCCTCGCTGCCAATCAAATTGATTCTTTCGCTTATAGAACTGTCATTCGAATGACTATCGTTGACGTTTAACCTACAAAAATCGTTATTTAAACTTTGTACTGTAGCGTAATCCGACCTAGAAGGCCTGGTGCTCATATAATCACTTTCTTGTCTTAGTCTTTCATTATGCTGCTTTATTAAATTATTCTTTTCGCTTTTGTACACATCCATGTCGTTCGTACTGTTATGTAAAGCCGCTGTCAACGGTTGCGACATACTGACGTGTTGCAGAGGCAGCGAATTGCTCAGATGTATCTTGTTGTGCTGGATGGGGTACTGGTTGTTTTGAGGTACCTGCAAATGGGAATTGTTCCGTTTCGGAGTATTAGGAAAGGTGTTGTTGGTGTGGTGAAGGCGGGAGACGTGCTGCTGCTGCTGTTGCTGCTGCTGGGTCGTCTTGTGGGGTATAGGGGGCGCCTCGAATTCTTGTAGAAAATCGTACCATTTGTCGTCAGAGTGGCCACTTGAGGAACTTGTTAATGTACCCTAAAAATTCGACGTTGGTAATTTTACAATTTATATGGAAAGTAGTTAACAGAGTTTTTTAGTGAGGTATAGAATTCCATAGAACAAATAAATTTTTTTTCAAGTAATTATTTTTAATAAACTGAAACATTCAGTAACAGATGACAAGAACAGCAGACCTAAACAGTGCAAACATCACAAATGAAGTTGACGATGTAAACTGTATTTTCGTAAGTCTTATGAGGGTTACCTTGTTAGTTTTTACAAAATAATGAAGAAAAATAATTTTTTGGTATAAATCTTTTATAGTTTTTCAAAATAATCGTATTTAAGCTTCATACACTACTGCCAACGTTCGAACTAATTCTCCGTATATTTGACCGAGACCTATGGAACCCAAGGGGCCGACGAAAACAAAGAAATCAGGTGCGGTTTCTCCATTGGTTCATTAGTGCAGTGAACACATTATTTTAAAATCACCTAAATAACTTAAAAATATAAATTTACTTTTAATATATTTATTATTTTAGTACGTATTAATCTTTACTTTTTTTGTACCTCAGTGCGCTCTGACTGGTAACGTCTGTCGGTGCAATATGTTGATTGAACGCGAGAGGTTTCCGCGAATGCCTGTAGTTAAAAAGAGAGGTCAAAAGATCCCTGAAACAAAGTGTGTCTGCTTGAAACCACGCTATTTTTAGCATCATTTTGTGCATCGCACGTAGATTACGTCACGACAGTTTATTTCCCTTGGTTCAACGACTAGACGTTGCTTGGGCCAAGGTCACTCTGACTGGGGGTCTTTCATCCAACGTTGTCACATTTGGTAGATTTTCAGCTTTTTTGGCTAATTTTAGTAGACCTTTTCTTTGGTAGATTTTAGCATTCTATAAATTAATTAAAAAATTCCAATTACTCATATAAAACTTGATATTTAAATATTTTTTTGCCAAAAATACTTGCTAAAAACGTTATGGCCGGGCGATTTCTAAAAAATAATCGATTCTTTAGGAATAATCGATTATTTACGATTAATCGATTCTTTTCGATTAACTGATTATTTTCAATTAATGAATTATTATCGATTAATCGAATCTCTTCGATTATTCGATTATTTTTAATTAATTGATTCTTTTCAATTAATCGATTCTTCTATATTAATATATTATTTTCTATTAATCGATTTTTTTTTCGATTAATCAATTATTTAAGATTAATCGATCATTATCGATTTTTTTTTAATTTATCGATTTTTTTTTATGTTAATCGATTCTTTTAGAATGATTAAAAATCGAATCTCTTCGATTATTCGATTCTTTTTAATTAATTGATTCTTTTCAATTAATCGATTTATCTCTATTAATAGATTATTTTCTATTAATCGATTTTTTTTCGATTAATCAATGATTTAAGATTAATCGATTATCATCGATTTTTTTATATTAATCAATCCTTTTCGATTGATCAAAAATCGATTATTTTCGATTATTCGATTCTTTCCTATTATAATTTTCTATTAATCGATTATTTTCGATTAGTCAATTCTTTTAGATTAATCGATTATTTATTTATCGATTATTTTTGATTAATCGATTATTTTTGATTAATCGATTATTTTCGAGTGATAGATTATTTTCGATTAATCAATTATTATCGATTAATCGATTCTTTTTAAATGATTCTTTTCAATAAATCAATTCTTTTCAATGAATCAATTATTTTCTATTAATCGATTTTTTTTCGATTAACTAATTATTTAAGATTAATCGATATTATCGATTTTTTTTAATTAATTGATTTTTTAAAATAATCAATTCTTTTCGATTGATCAAAAATCGATTATTTTCGATTATTCGATTCTTTCCTATTATGATAATTTTCTATTAATCGATTATTTTCGATTAGTCAATCCTTTTAGATTAATCGATTGTTTTCAATTAATCGAAACTTTTTTATTATTCGATTATTTTCTATTAATCGATTCTTTTCGATTTATCGATTATTTTTGATTAATCGATTATTTTTGAGTAATAGATTATTTTCGATTAATCAATTATTATCGATTAATCGATTCTTTTTAATTGATTCTTTTCAATTATTCGATTCTTTTCAATGAATCAATTATTTTCGATTATTATCGAATGTTTTGAATTAATCGATTTTGTCTATTAATCGATTCTTTTCGATTAACAGATTATTTTCGATTAACCAATTCTTTTCGATTAATCGATTGTTTTCGGTTAATCGAATCTTTTCGATTAATCGATCATTTTCTATTAATCGATTCTTTTCGATTTATCGATTATTTTTGATCAATTAATTCGTTTCTATTAATCGATTTTTTATCACTAGAGTACAACAAGTTAATAGTTGTAGTGATAACTGAAAATGGAATATAGTAATCTTACGGGAATAACACAAGTTAATGACATAGGCATGATTTCTGCACGATCTTTAACGAACTCTAGAATGGACTACGAATCTGAATTTGATATTGCCATTTAGACGGTAAAAGGTTAAATATTATTTGTACATGAGCAGGCTTAAGGGGTAAAGATTCCAAATATTTACATACAGCTGAGAGAAAAGGATAAACGATTAAATATTTTTCCATGGGCAGAAGTTCAGGGTAAAGTGTCTAAATATTTTTACATGTATTCGCTCCGTGCGCGACAGCAGCGCCAATTTGTTTTGGTATTAAAGGAGTATTTCTGCCTATACTGACAAATACAATTTTTAATAGAATTCGTAAATAAAAAGTATATATGTTAGTTTTAATAAAAGTATATGGATTTATAAAACAATTAAAACATTAATTTATTATTATTATATATTTTTCACGCTTAAATTGAAGAAAATTATGTATAATCATTAAAAATCAATAATAAAATATAGGCAGGCAACAGTATTTACCTGAAAATGTATAAGAAGTTGCCTAAGTCTAATAAGTTGTCATTGAAGAAACCATTTATAATAGCGTGAAGTTAAAATGTATAAAAAGGATCGCTACTTATATTTTCATTTTTGTTCTAAAGAAAACATAGAATGAATGATTAAAACTGGTTTCCGATCAGTAAGTCACAAAATTACATACCAGCCAAATATTATAATCAACGGCAGAAATCTTGAAATCTAGTTCTTGCTGAATGAACATTTAAGAATAAAGGGATATTAAAGAACATCGTAAAATGATAATTTATTGTTTATTTAAAAACTTTCTAGTTTCTGATGTCTACTATTTCCAGCATTACTGTTATTATCACAAAAATAAAGGTAATTTTTCTTCTTATTGTACACCTACCCATTTATTTCTTTGATTTAATTTCCACTTTGTTAGTGAAATTTGTTATATAAGTTTCACTGTTTTTTTTTGCTAGTATTTGTACAATTTTCAACACAGCAACTCCGGTTGCTTATTGTGTTGTTTTTACCTACTTTTTTGAAAAAAAGTAAAATGTATACGTGTATTTGATATGCCAAAATTACAAAATATCCCCCTAAAATGCACGAATTATCCGCAGCTAGCGCTAGTATCGCTTTTGCTTCCCTTTCCATGACTTCGCACGGAGCGAATAGACACTTAAGGGGTAAATGCCCCAAATTATTTTTACATATACAGGCGTAAATGGTGAAGGGTCCAAGTATAAAGGGATAAAGTGACTAAATATTTTTAAATGGACAGGCTTAAGGTATAAATTGATCAATTCTTTTTTCATGGACAGGATTAAGAGGTAAAGGCCCCAAATATTTTTTATTTGTGTTGGCTTTTGCTCAAATACTTTTAGATGAGCAGGAAGGGGTCAAAAATTCTTATTTGAGCAGACGAAAGGAGTGGAAGGACCAAATAATTTTAATGTGCAAGCTGAAGAGGTAGTGAGGTAAATATGTTTACTTATAGAGGCGTAAGTCGTAGAGGGACCATATATTTTTAATGTATAAACTGGTAGAAGTAAAGGAATCAGATTTTTTTATATGAGCAGGAATAAAGTTGCAAAATATTACGTATACAGGGTTTCTCATTAGGAATGGGACACAGAACAAGTAAAGATTCTCTGATTAAAAAGAAGATTAAACGAAACATGCTTGGATGAAATATTACTGGTCTCCGAAATACAGGGTGTTAAAGTTGAAAATTGAAAAATTATTAATTGCTATATTTTTTTATTTCTCGGTATAATTTTACTAAATTCGGTAAACGTTGTTATCATCAAATAAACCTATTAGCAAAACAATCAGATAAATAAACTGTACCAGTGGCGTACAACATGGATAAGTAACACTTGCATATGCTCTAAATTTTACGCCACTGTCCAAAAACTTATATAAACTATACGTTTACATTTTTAATGTTTTTTAAATAATTCATGTACTCCTGTTGGACACTCATGAAGTGATTTATTTTCGAGATATTCACACTCATAGGTAGATTTTCTTCATTTTAATATATTTTTAATTTTGTAATTTTGGATTTTTTATAAATTCCCAAAAAGACTACACGATTTATTTAAAAAACAATAAAGAATTTTAAATTGTAGTCCAAATGAGTTCACCGGGATGTGCTTTGAAATATTTAATTTTTAAATAACTTTTTATTAGTTTATGGTTATTTAACCATGTATTGAACTCCATTTTACTTCTTTACAGCACCCAGAAATTATTTATTGTAACACTAATAATTATTGCTTTCTAAAATTTGAGACAAGAACATTTTGACCCCTCCAATAATCCGTATCTCCATTCGGTGCTACCCGAGTCGTTTTGACGCCGTATTGAAAGGTTGTGGAGGGAACAATATAAATAAAATCCGCATCCTAGTGTTTTCGAGTGTAAGTTGACACCATGTAAGTATCGGTTTTCTGTGTAGCGAGAAAACTACTTGCAATACTTATTCCTTATCCTTATTGTATACATGGGCATTTTGATTACGAGTAGCACTATTTAAAACATATACACCGTGTCTAAATAAATTGGCTACATATGGTAAACTTTTTTATTATTAGTTTTATAAAAAAAATGTATTC